CCCTCTGTGTGTATCTGCATTTCCCTGTCTCCCTGGGCCTAAAAAAAAAAGTCTGTCTGTCTGTCTCTCTGTATGGATCAGTATGCATGGACGCATGGAGCTAATGACTGTTTTCTCTCCCTGCTCTCTCCCTGTCTATCTCTCTTCCCTCCCTCTTCCTAAAAAAAAAAATGTTGGATGTTGCCCCTCCTCCAGGCCGACCTTGACTTTAGCCCCCCATTGGACTCTCTGATGAGTCCTGAACTGCCCGAGGCCTGTGTTTCAGCTTTCTTTGGGGCCAAAAAAAAAAATGTCCAAATATTTGGCCGCCTCCAGGGGATTCCGGGTCAGCAGGGAGGAGAATGGGCTGGCTGGCGCAGGGTCTCCCCTGCCCCTGGGGGGCCACAGTCACGTGATGTCCTGTCTTTTGCCTCAGCTGGGCCTCGGGCTGCACGTCCTTCTCAGCAGACTGGCAATGGGGGAGGTGGGGGCTGCTGTTGCTGTAGCCCACTCGTGAACCAAGAGCTTCTGGCTGCAACCTCTACGGGTGGCAGCCTGAGCAAGGAGGGTCCAGGGCTGGGTGGGAAGGGAGGCTGAGGTGAAAAAAAAAAGGCCCAGCTACAAGCATCTGTTAGAAAATGTACCCGGCCACAGGAAAGTCAAAAAAAAAACCCCAGCTGGGTCTCTCAGATCCTCCTAGACACCTCCGGATGCCCAGAACAAAAAAAAAAAGACCCTAGATCCCAAGGCCAGGGAACTGGGGGTTGAGGATTAACGTAGCAAAAAAAAAAGTTCTCTGGGCCATCTGCCTTCCCCTGAATGTGCCCCCTCCTGCATGTCACTTCCTCGGTATTAGCCCAGTGTTGGTCACACACTGGCCACTTGCATTGTTGTGTTGTTGAAAAAAAAAACGTGGCAGAGGGAGGACTAGAACCTACTGGGGTCAAAATCTGGAAACGTGAAAAAAAAAAAGGGTAAGAGGTGTCTTTTCCCTGTTCTAACATCCTCCTCCCACTTGCTTAAAAAAAAAACCCCTGACCCCAGCAATCAGCTACCACTAATTCCTGTGGCTGTGCCTTGAAAAAAAAAAATCCAAATGTCTCCACTGGATCTGGTTTCCCCTCTTACTAACACCTTGTCCTAGGAGGGGGCATCTTCCCTCTGAAGCCTGGAGGAGCAGGTGGACAGAGGGGTAGCTGTCAAAAAAAAAACCAGACTTAGAAGGGGGGCACCCTGTCTCAGTCAAGGAGGGGAGTGGTAAAAATGAGCTGAGCTAGAACTGGGGGCAGCCCTCATCCCTGAGCCCCCAGGAATAATCATGAAAAAAAAAAAAGCCAGGCCAACTGTCTCTCTCCTGAGATCTTGGCGGAGGTCAGGAAGCCTGGGCCTTAGCAGTAAGCTCCAGAGGGTCTGTGCCTCCGCTGGTACAAGTGACCACCAAGGAAAAAAGAGTGTGAAGGCCTCCCTGTCACCAGCTCACTACTGCAGACCCACACCCACTTATGTTCCTGAGCATGGGGAAGGAAAGCAAGGCTCAGAGTCCTGGGGACTCCAAGGACCTAAAAAAAAAAGCAGAGAGCTGTGCTTCCTGTAGCCGCTTGCATCAGCTGCCCTGAGGTGGAAAAAAAAAATGGGGCTCAGAATCTTTAATTAGCCAAACACAACACCTGCCGAGGTGTGAAAAAAAAAAACTCACCAGGTGATGTTTGTGTGGGCGGGCGTTACCTGCTGCACCATCCCTGTGGCTCCTGGCCCCTCCTGGCCCTTATCTCCCAGGAAAGCAAAACAGGTCCCAGGGCAAAAAAAAAAAACGTTGATCTACTGCCCGGGCTCACACTACATCCATGACATGCCATTCTGAAAAAAAAAAAAAGGCCACTATGATCTCCCCACCCTAGCGCCTGGCCACTCTCTGGGCACCCATGGCCTGCCCTGGGGATGAAGGCTTTGGGGAGGCTCCTCTCTCATCCCAAACTTTGACAAAAAAAAAAGGGACCCCTAGAGGATAGGGGTACACTGAGGTCCTGAGTTGGGGAGTACGAAAAAAAAAACCACACAGTGAGGCAGGGCCAAGCCCAGCACCAGAAGGTCTGCTCTGGGCTTTCAACACAGGGGATCAGGCTCTGCTGGGATCCTTTCTCATGCAGGGGCCCTTCCCTGAAAAAAAAAAAACTCTCGGATACAAAGGAGCCTGGGAGGCCACAGGCCTGAGGGGTAGGAAAAAAAAAAAATGGGCTGGTAGCTTCAGGGAATGGCTGGGGGCTCCATGCCAGGCCAGTGCAAAAAAAAAACCTGGTCCCCAGCCCCCAGCCCTCCTCCCTGCCCTGGACCAAAGTCCATACTCCTGGACCTGGCCTTTACAGCTCTATCAGGTTTGTCTGTCGCCACAGAACCTTCCTTCAGCCCTCACAGTCTGCCTTGTACTGCACCTCGGGGCCTCTGCCTATGCTGTGCTCTCTGCAAAAAAAAAAGTTTCCTGTTTGACATCCCAGGGTGCCTACTGGAATTTTAGGACTGGCTTAAAAAAAAAATCCAGGAAGTCTTCCTTGATTCCCCCATCCTCTTTTTTTTTTTTTTTTTGAAAAAAAAAATGGCTCTTGTTGGCCAGGCTAGAATGCAATGGCACAATCTCGGCTCACTGAAAAAAAAAACTCCCAGGTTCAAGCGATTCTCCTGCCTCAGCCTCCCAAGTAGCTGGGATAAAAAAAAAATGCCACCACACCGGGCTAATTTTGTATTTTTAGTAGAGACGGGGTTTTTCAAAAAAAAAAAGGCTGGTCTTGAACTCCTGACCTCAGGTGATCCTGCTCTCCTCGGCCTCCCAAAGTGCTGGGATTACAGGCATGAGCCACTGCGCCCGGCACCCCCATCCTCTTTTTTGAGACACAGCACTGTGTGGCTCACACTGAGTTGCAGCAGGAGCTACAGGGTAGTGATGAGGGTGCTATTTGGGGGGGTTGTCTCTTTCAGACTGGAGGTCACTTGAGGAGAGATATTCTAAAAAAAAAAAAGGATCTTGGGCCAGCCCAAGACCCAGCAATGACTGGTCATGATTGAGTAATAGCCACCAGGCCCCAAAGGTCTAGGCCCAGCTCCTGCAGGGGGGATGGGGAACCTGGAACTCAGACCTCAGACACCTCCCACTGCCCATGACACAGACTGTGGTCTCCCTGGAGGCAGTGCCTGGCTGCTACGGAAGAATATTAGGTCAGAGAAGTGTGTTTTGTCCAGGCTGCCAGCTCAGCACACTCTGAGGGCCTGTCCCAGCCTGCCCAGGACAGGGGCCCGAGAGAGGGCACCCCCAACTGAGTGCAGGGCGGACTCTGGAGTAGCTCTGGACGCCAGCACCGGCACCTCCATAAAAAAAAAAAACCCTTGGAGGGATGCTGATGGCAAGGCTTAGGGCAGGGGCATGAGGACAAAAAAAAAAAGGCAACTCTGGGGTCAGGGGAGAGGGCTCAAGAAGAGATGCTAACATTGTAAAAAAAAAAAGTAGGTGGGGCTGGGAGGAGAGGAGGTAAGATGCTGGCATCAGAAGGAGAAAAAAAAAAGAGGGATGCAAGAGTGCCATGTGTGGGGTCTCCAGGGTCCAGGTGCCAGAAAAAAAAAAACGGCCTGGGGCTGCCTGGGGCAGTACAGGGAGGGAGTCCTCTGACCAGAGAGGCCAGAGGCTGCTGTGACCTCTGCAGCCTCCGGGGGCACCAGGCCTGAGGCCTGAGCCAAAAAAAAAATGTTCACCCCTAGCCCTGAGTGCTACATTTGAGTCCCCCAGTGCTCCAGAAAAAAAAAAAGACCTGAGACCATCAGGGGCTGGAGTGGGGATGGGGGGTTCAGGGCAGAAAAAAAAAAAACCCAGCAAAGAGGGTGCCGTGGCTTTAGGACCAGGCTCTGGCTGTCCTGCCTGGCAGTACTGTCCCACTCACTGGTCTCCACTCTGGCCTCAGCTCTCCTGCTGGCCAGGAAAAAAAAAAGGGTGTCCTTACAGAACCTGGGGGCACTATGCCCAGTCACCTCTGGGTATAAAAAAAAAAATTCCTGGATCCAGTGATGGGAGAGGGGCCAGTGAGTTGTCTGGGCAGTGAAAAAAAAAAGTGGGGAAAGGGGAGCTGGTTCCTTTGAGGCCTAGCAGGGGTTCCCTGCCAAAAAAAAAAGGAGAGGCTTGGAAGAAAACATGGCCCTGAGGCCAGGACTGTGTGGAGGGTGAGGCATGTGTGGCACAGAGAACCGGCCCTGGAGCACCCTTTTCCTGGAAGGCCCCCTGAGGGCCCTTTGCCGCAGCCAGGCGGGAAGGGCCCAGGTGTCCAGCTACCCAGCACCGCCTAAAAAAAAAAGGCTCCGGGGAGGGGGGACAGCCTCTGCGCCTGCCGTTCCCAGCGCCAGCTCTCAGCCCACAGAAGGCTCTTTGTTCTGGCTGCCAGCAGTGCCCGCCGGGCGGCTGGGAACGGGGCCCACAGCCCTCACCCTCTCCTGAGGCCTCCAGCCGTCGGGCAGTGCCATTCTAAAAAAAAAAAGAGGCCCCTGGACACAGGGTCAGTGCAGGAAACCATCTTCCAGTACTGATAAAAAAAAAAGGAAGTCTATCCCGGGTACATACCCAGAGTGAAGTCTGGGGACCTGGGACAAAAAAAAAAGGGATGCTGGTGCCACTGGGCTCTGAACTTGGGTCATCCAGATGATCCTTAAAAAAAAAATGGGGAAACCGAGACCCCAAAGGCTTGCCTGGATGGTTGTGCTTGTAAGAAAAAAAAAAAGTGCTGGCTAGGGTGTCCCATCAGAACATGCTGGGAACTCAGGTGTCCGAAAAAAAAAAACCCAACGGCAGATCCCAGAGAGGCAGCAGGCAGAGCTGCATGTGCGGGTATGTCCCGAGTGGCCATCTGGGAGGTGTGCTATGGCTGCAGGCCTCGGGTAGGAGGCTGGGAAAAAAAAAAAAGTAATGGGGCTAACCAGAGGGACCGGCTGCTCTGCAGACATCTGACTGAAAAAAAAAAATCAGTGTTCCTGGTGTTGTGCCCTGAGCCATGGAGGTGCCTTTGCAGACAAAAAAAAAAGAGCTGGTGCCCAATGGCAAACACTCAGAGGGGCTGCTCCCAGTCATCACAAAAAAAAAAGGCAACCAGAGGTGAGTACAAGAGGGACCCAGTGCTGGCTCAAGACAGGGCAGGGCAGGGGTACAGAGCAAAGGGCTGGAGCTGAGCCACCCACCCTGACCTGTGCCTACAAAAAAAAAAACCCCACAAGGAGCTGTATTGAGGGCAAGAGCTTCCTACAGAAAAGTCCCAGCAAGGAGCCACACTTCACCGACGTGAGCGGGGCAGCAACGGGTTGTTGGGGGACACTGAAAAAAAAAAGGATGCAGTAATGAGGTGGTCTCTGGCAGCAGTGGGAGGCTGAGGGACAGAAAAAAAAAATGCCGTGATGCCCCTGTCCCTTGCTGACTCCTCCCACCCTTCCCCATCCCAAAAAAAAAACTGCAGTTCGAGGGGAAGACATCATTTGGGATGTCAGTGTTCAACCTCAGAAAAAAAAAAATGGGCAGCGGCATCCTCGGACTCGCCTATGCCATGGCCAATACGGGCATTATCCTTTTCCTGTGAGTGCCCTCAGAGAACCTTCTAAAGATAGGGGCCCTAAGCAAGTCAAAAAAAAAAACCTCCCAGGACCTGCCAGTTCCCTGTCCTAGCACCCAGGCTGCAGTGGGAAAAAAAAAATTACACTAACAAACCATGGCTGAAAAAAACATCCACAGCCAAACAAATATAAAAAAAAAACCAGTAAACCGACTGAGGTCACAACACAGGCCAGTCTTACAGGCCAGAGAAAAAAAAAAAGCCACCTTACACATGATGGCCAAGCCCCATGGCCAGGCTTTGTGTGGGCACACGTGTCCTTTGCCTGGGGGCTCTGCCCTGAAGCCAGAATGGAAAACATGTTTGTTTCAAGGACTCGAGAGGAGGAGGTGCTCAGAGGGCAGTCATAGGGACACTCTTGACTCAGAGGGAAAAAAAAAAGGTGTGTCCCACCCTGGATCAAACGGGGTGGTGTTCATCACCCCTGGGACAAAAAAAAAATGCATCCGTACCTGTTGGAAGTCCAGACACCCAGGTCACAGACCCTTCACAAAAAAAAAACTCAGAGCCCCTCACCCTCTGCCAGCTAGGGTAGCCCCCAGTGGCCTTTTAAAAAAAAAATCCCATGTGTCCTCAGGTTCCTGTTGACGGCTGTCGCCTTGCTCTCCAGCTACTCCATCCACCTGCTACTCAAGTCCTCAGGGGTCGTGGGTGAGCTTCACACCAGCCTGGAATGGGCGGGAGCTGGTGGGTAAACTGGGGCCAGTTCCTGACTTCTTGACCCTGCTGCCGCAGGCATCCGTGCCTATGAGCAGCTGGGCTACCGTGCCTTTGGGACCCCAGGAAAGCTGGCAGCAGCCCTGGCCATCACGCTCCAGAACATCGGAGGTGAGAGCAGTGGGCAGGGGCAGGCAGTAGGCAAGCAGACGGCCCCGAAAGCTGGCCGGTTGGGCTGACCCCAGCGCCTGCTCACCCCTCTCCCCACAGCCATGTCCAGCTACCTGTACATCATCAAGTCTGAGCTGCCACTTAAAAAAAAAACCTTCCTGAACCTGGAGGAGAAAACCTCGTGAGCCCTGGAGTGGGGAGGGAAAAAAAAAAGTGCTGTACAATGAGGAGGGGTGGGGTAGGGGGCTGGGTGAGGGTGGGGGAAAAAAAAAAGGCTAGTGGGAGAGACAAGACAAAGCAGACAAGAAGCTGGTGGAGGTGGGAGAGTTGCCAGCAGAGCCAGCATTCAGTTCACACTCACTTGGGAAGCACCTAGGGGACGCAAAAAAAAAAAGGGGCATGTGGGACTAGGGGCAGGGTGCAGCTGAGAAAGCCGGGCCCCTCCTCACCCCGATCCCAGCCTGTGAGCATGGGAGGCTCAAGCTTAGCTCTAAGCACCTGCTAAAAAAAAAAATGGGGTTGCCCCCCCACCAAGAGATTAAGCCCAGGTGTCCCAGTTGCCTAAAAAAAAAACCAGCATTGACTGGACTTCAAATGTGTTTTGTGGGACAGAGGGGACACAGAAAAAAAAAACTCTTGTCAGCCCAGCCGAGCAAGCAGAGGGGCTGGGAGGTTGAGAGTAGAAAAAAAAAAAGGGAGAGCCGGAATTCTGCCCCTAGGGCCCTGGGCCTTTCCCAAGGAGTAAAAAAAAAAGCTTGCCTTTGAGGACGGTCCTAGCCCTTATCCCCTTGTTTCCCCATGCCAAAAAAAAAATCCTGGTGGGTTAGAGGAGGGAGCAGGATGAGGCAATGCCAAGATGCCAGAAAAAAAAAAAAGGAGTACAGGTTATTGCAAGTGCCTGAAACCCCCATGGAAAACACCACAAAAAAAAAAAACCAGGTCCCTTCCTCCCACCCACCTCCATTCAAAGGCTGGACCCAGACCTGTGTGTCCTGAGAAAAGCAACAGCAGTGCCTATAATAGAGAGGGTCCTGAGCATGAGCAAAAAAAAAAGCTGGAACCTTAGTTCTCACGTCACCCTGAAGGAGAGTACTGAGGGCACGAAAAAAAAAATTCTTCTTCTTCTTTTTTTTTTTTTTTTTGAGACGTAGTCTTGCTTTGTTAAAAAAAAAAGAGTACAGTGGCGCAATCTCGGCTCACTGCAACCTCTGCCTCCTGGGTTCATGCGATTCTCCTGCCTCAGCCTCCTGAGTAGCTGGGATTATAGGCTTGTGCCACCATGCCCAAAAAAAAAATTTTGTATTTTTAGTAGAGACAGGATTTCACCATGTTGGTCAGGCTGGTCTCAAACTCCTGACCTGATGATCCACCCACCTTGGCCTCCCAAAGTGCTGGGATTACAGGCAAAAAAAAAAACGCCCGGCCAGGCACGCCCATTTTGCAGATGGGGAAAGTGAGACTCAGAAAAAAAAAAAAACATTCTTCAGATGTCACTCACTGGCACCACTGGTAACTCCAGCAGAGGAAAAAAAAAACCCCATCCCAGGCTGAATGGATTCTGACCCTGGCTCCCGATTCCTATCCCAAAAAAAAAAGGTACATGAATGGGAACTACCTGGTGATCCTTGTTTCTGTCATCATCATTAAAAAAAAAACACTGATGCGGCAGCTTGGTGAGTGTGGAAGGGTCAGAGCCTTGGAAGGGATATTGGAGGCGTATACCATGGGAGGGGCCCCAGGTCTCAGAGTGCCCCCTCCACTTTGCAAAAAAAAAAGGCTACTCCAGCGGCTTCTCTCTTAGCTGCATGGTGTTCTTCCTAATTGCAAAAAAAAAACTTCCATGTTGGCCGAGAAAGCGGGCAGCGGGTCTCCCGGGGGAGTTCCCAAAAAAAAAAAGGGGGCACGTGTCTCTGGGAAGCCTGGGCCAGAAGGCAGCTCTGCCAGTCCTGATCTAGATGTGGCTTCATGGTAACTTCCCAGGCAGCTCAGCCTGGCTCTGACACCCAAAAAAAAAACCACTCCAGGTCATCTACAAAAAGTTCCACGTGCCCTGCCCACTGCCCCCAAAAAAAAAAAACACCACAGGCAACTTCAGCCACATGGAGGTCGTGAAGGAGAAGGTGCAAAAAAAAAAAGAGCCTGAGGCTGCAGCCTTTTGCACTCCCAGTTACTTCACGCTCAACTCAAAAAAAAAAACAGGTCAGGGTGGGGCGGGGGCCCAGTGAGAGTGGGGGACTGCCTTGACAGCCTCATGCTTCCCCAGACAGCATACACCATCCCCATCATGGCCTTCGCCTTCGTCTGCAAAAAAAAAATGCTGCCCATCTATACCGAGCTCAAGGAGTAGGTATCTGTGGCTGGCAGCGGTAGGGGGGGCTGCCCTGAGCTGGTTTAGGGAGCATGGATGTGGTCCTGAATGTGGAGAAAAAAAAAAAAGGAGCCAAGTCACTTTATCTAAGATCTCCGGGGCAGCCATGAGAGGCGAAAAAAAAAAAGAAGGAGACTCCCTCAGCTGCTGAATGGTGAAAGTGTGGTGCCAGAGAGGAAAAAAAAAACATGGGGGTCTCCCAATGTTACCCAGCTTGTCACCAACACCCGTCCCCCAAAAAAAAAAAGCCCCTCCAAGAAGAAGATGCAGCACATCTCCAACCTGTCCATCACTGTCAAAAAAAAAATGTACTTCCTGGCTGCCCTCTTTGGCTACCTCACCTTCTATGGTATGGTGGCACTGGTGGGCAGAGGCCTAGGCCAGGCTGGGGGGAAGGGGCTGGTTGTGGCCATGGTGAAAAAAAAAACGAGGCATGTGGTGCCTGGCTGTTCCTTGCTGCTGTGGAGGTGAGTCTGCAAAAAAAAAACCACAGTGTTGGGGTCCCCCAGGCAGCTCAGATCCCACCTCCTTCCCGGGAAAAAAAAAAGACCATCCTCCCTGCCTGCCACAGATGGGGTGGAGTCAGAGCTGCTGCACAAAAAAAAAAAAGTGGACCCATTTGACGTGCTGATCCTGTGTGTGCGTGTAGCCGTGCTGAAAAAAAAAACGCTCACAGTGCCCATCGTTCTGTTCCCGGTGAGCTGGTAGGCAGGTGGCCAGACCAGTGGCGGGAGGGGCTGATGGGGCCAACAGGCTGATTATTCTTCCCACCTGTCCAAAAAAAAAACCGAGCCATCCAGCAGATGCTGTTTCCGAACCAGGAGTTCAGCTGGCTGCAAAAAAAAAATATTGCTGTTGGCCTGCTCACTTGTATCAACCTGCTGGTCATCTTTGCCCCCAACATCCTGGGCATCTTTGGGGTCATCGGTGAGGGTCTGGCCCTGCTGTGGAAGCAGGGTATTGCCCCAGAGGAATTCACCTCTGCAAATCCTGGCAGATTCCTGAGCTTATACCCTAAAAAAAAAAAAGTGGCCATGTGCACAGTTTGGCCTCCCATCTGAGCTTTTGTCCATAGGCAAAAAAAAAACCTTTTCGGGGCTCAGTCACTGAGTCAGTCCCCCATGCTGGAGGACAGGGGTGGACCCCAGGGATCAGAGGCCTCCTCAAAGGATCTCACTGGGTCTTGTCCACATGTCAAAAAAAAAAAAACTAAAGTTCAGAGTGATTAAAGGAGCAGCGGGGCCACACAGCTGGTGAATAGGAGCCTTGGGCTTGATTCAGCCCCAGGATCACTGCACTCCAAGTTTGGCGCTCCATAAAAAAAAAAATTCCAGATGGGGCTCTCAGCTGGTAGAGCAGACAATTCTGAAATATCTCAAAAAAAAAACAACTCAGAGGACTAATAAACTCTGCCAGGACTCACAGACAGACCTGGGGAAAAAAAAAAATGGATATCATGGACAGCACTCTTCGTTCTCTATGTCCGAAATCTAACTCAAAAAAAAAAAAGCAGAAAGGAATTCACTGGCTCAAATAACAGAGAAGCCTTCAAGTATAAAAAAAAAAAGGAGCCCAATACCCTTAAGCCCTCATCTCTCTCCATCTCTTGACTTGCCTAAAAAAAAAACTAGCTTCATTGGCTGACATTCTCCTGACACCGACATCACCAGCCTTCTAAAAAAAAAAATAGAGAACAAGGGGGAGAGGCTGATGGGCTAGAATCAGGCAGCGCTCTCCAGTGGTCTCAACGTGAAACTCCCTCAATAAGGAGTGTTTGATCTCATTGAAAAGTCCACCCCCGAATCTTAGTCAGTAGGAGGATATGAGCCAGCAGTGGCCATGTCTTGTTCTTTGCAGGTGCCACATCTGCCCCATGCCTCATCTTCATCTTCCCTGCCATCTTCTACTTCCGAATCAAAAAAAAAAAGAAGGAGCCTGCGAGATCCACCCCCAAAATCCTGGTGCGAGGGGCCTGGAAAAAAAAAAACTGGTATGGGGCTAAGGGAACTGCCCTGACCTTGGACCTGACCCTGACTTAAAAAAAAAAAGGCCCTATGTTTTGCTGTGCTTGGCTTCTTGCTGATGACCATGAGCTTGAAAAAAAAAATCATTGACTGGGCCTCAGGGACCAGCCGGCACGGAGGAAACCACTAGGGTAAAAAAAAAACTCTTCTGTCTACTCACCCTAGCAGCCCTGCCCAGACTCTTCAGCCCCTGAAAAAAAAAAGTGGCCAGTCGGGGGAGGAGAAAGACGCGATTAACACTGTGGCATTCAGCAAAAAAAAAAGTCCTCTCTGTGGAAGGTTTTTGTTCAAGAGCCAGGACCAAGGCCCTTGGGCCACTACCCTGCTAGGCTCCAGAGCAGCAGGGGCTTCTTGAACTGGGAGCAGGGTGGGGCTGTCGCCTTAGATCCCACCCAAGCCCCTCATTCCCTCCTTGCACAGATGCGTACACTAGAAAAAAAAAACTGCCTCCTGAGGAGATACAGCCTGTAGAAACATACAGAGCTGGAATCGGCCTAGAGCCATTCCCCTACCCTGCTGCTAGGCCACGGTCTGTGCCCTGGGGCCTCATCTCAAAAAAAAAATTGTTTTTCCCCCTTTTATTCCCTAGGCCCTTTTCAGACACTTGGGCCCTAAAAAAAAAATCTCCCACCCCTCTTCACAGGATGGCACCCTCCCATACCCCATAGCTGGGACCAGCAGGTTCTGCTGAGGATAGGGCTGGTGTAGCTATCCCCAAGAGACCCCTGACCTGTCCCTTCACCAGTCCTGGGGAGGCTGGGACTCCCCCTGCCACAAGCCTGGGCCACAGCTCACATTCCACTGCTGGGAGAAGAGACAGGCGGAGGCCCAGAGTGGCCTGCCCCCGGGAGCCAAAGACCCCAGTGGCCACACTGGGACAGGGTGGGGAGGCTGGCAGCCCTCTTTTATAAATAAAAAAAAAAAGACCAGCTGTGTTTTCTATTCTTGGTCTCCATGGTCCCTGGATTCCTGGAAAAAAAAAAAGGGGCCAGAACATGGATGGTGATGGAGGGCTCCCGTCTCTTTGTCTGGGAAAAAAAAAAGGACAGGGCAAGTCCCCCACCCCCCCACCCCCTGCCTCCCAAACTAACCAAAAAAAAAAACAGACCCAGCTCTGGGCCTGGGCCAGGCTCAGCACAGACCTGCTTTCTCACGGGGTGAGGTGGGGAGGAATTAATGAGGCCCCAGGAAGTGGGACAGAGAGAGGCCTCCGAAAAAAAAAAACGTGAGGTGCATCCCCAGCAGCTTCAGGGAGGGTCTGAGCTGGGGGCAGCTGAGCCCTGAGAGAGCCCCAGGAAGGGCCCCCTTCCCTCCCCTAGCTCCCAGGCTGCCATGTCAACTCTCTGTCAATGCCCTGAGTCTGGGAACAAAAGTCCAGGAATCCTGTGCCCTGAAAAAAAAAACTTTTTATTAACAGTAAAATCCACTGTGAATAAAGTGGGTTAGTAGTCCCAAAAAAAAAAGACCCAAATGGCAAAGGGAGGCGGGAGTCCAAGGTAGGGCAGGGGCTGCAAAAAAAAAAAACAGCCCCAGGTGTCCTGGCCCCAGTGGGACTGGGAAGCTGCCCACTGCCTTGAGCAGGCCTGAACCAGCTGAGACCCAGTGGGATAGAGCTGCCCAGGCCTTGGCACCAAACCCTCATTAAGAGAGACCCTGCACCAGGCTAGGCCGCCGGGGAAAGGGCAGCAGGAAAGATCCAGTTTGAATTTGCAAGGCAGCTGCCAGCTCGGGAAAATCCTGAAGAAAGAACTTCAAAAAAAAAATGGCTGCTAGGCCCACAGCAGTGCCAGCTCAGCAGAGGGGAGCTTCCTGAGTCCTGTTCCCATCAGGCCCAGGCATCTGACTCCAGGCTGGGGACTCACCCAGCCACCCTAAAAAAAAAAGAAAGAGCTGGACACTGGCCTAGAGGTGGATGCAGCACAGGGTGTTCTGATGAGAGGGGCTGCCCTCTAGAGGTCTCGATGGGGCCATAACCCTGCCTGGAACCCTCGGTTCCTGGGCAGTGGGGGGCAATGAAGGGCAAGTCCATCCCGCAGGCAGACCTGGGGGTCTTAAAAAAAAAACCCTCCATCCAAAGAAGGCTGCAGGTCAGAGCAGCAGCAGGACACCACGTAAAAAAAAAACCCTGCAGACCAGGGGAATGTGCTAAAGGCAGCACCCTCTGCGCACACACAAAAAAAAAACTGGTGTGCGCACACACATACACACAACTGGTGTGGGGAAGGACCCTGGGAAAAAAAAAAAGAGGCCATCTCTGCTTGCCCAGTCAGGCCTCCTCCAGCCTGACCGTGGGCAGCAGGCTCCAGCAAGGAGGAGGCAGGTAATGTGGCCACTACACTAGATTCAAGAGCCAAAAAAAAAAATGACCGTTTGAAAATGAGTATCGCCAGGCGTGGTGGTTCACGCCTGTAATAAAAAAAAAATGGGAGGCCGAGACGGGTGGATCACGAAGTCAGGAAATCAAGACCATCCTGGCTAACACGGTGAAATCCCGTCTCTATTAAAAATACAAAAAATTAGCTGGGCGTGGTGGAAAAAAAAAATACATGGAAGGCTGAGGCAGGAGAATGGCGTGAACCCGGGAGTCGGAACTAAAAAAAAAATGAGATAGCACCACTGCACTCCAGCCTGGGTGACAGAGCAAGACTCCGTCAAAAAAAAAAAAAAAAAAAAAAATTAAAAGATTTAAAAAAAAAAGAAAATGAGTATCCGTAAAAAAAAAATGTCAAATTCCAGACACTTGGCCTCCATGGTCTGCAGGCCCTCAGGCATCAAAAAAAAAATGTGTATGCGTTGAAAATTTTCCCAGGTTTTTTCCTTTGTTATCCTTTTAAAAAAAAAAACTGGGGCCAGGCGTGGTGGCTCACACCTGTAATCCCAGCACTTTGGGAAAAAAAAAAAAACAGATTACTTGAACTCAAGATTTCAAGACCAACCTGGGCAACATGGCGAAAAAAAAAAAATAAAAAAAAAAAAAAAAAAAGTGAAAAATTAGCAGGGTGTGGTGGCTCACGCCTGTAAGTCCCAGCTCTTCAGGAGGTGGAGGCAGGAGGATCACTTGTGTCCAGGTGACTGAGGCTGCAGTGAGTTGTGATTGTGCCACTGCACTCCAGCCTGGGCAACACAGCAAGACTCTGTCTCAAAAAATAAATAAATAAATAAACAGATAAATAAATAGTTCTAGGCCGGGTGCGGTGGCTCACACCTATAATCCCAGCACTTTGGGAGGCCGAGGTAGGCGGATCACCTGAGGAAAAAAAAAAGAGACCAGCCTGACCAACATGGAGAAATCCCATCTCTACTAAAAATACAAAAAAAAAAAAGGGCGTGGTGGTGGGCGCCTGTAATCCCAGCTACTCGGGAGGCTGAGGCAAAAAAAAAAATTGAACCCAGGAAGTGGAGGTTACAGTGAGCCAAGATCAGGCTGTTGCACAAAAAAAAAAGCAGCAAGAGCCAAACTCTGTCTCAAAAAATAATAAATAAATAAATAAATAAAAAAAAAAATAGTTCTGGAAAAATTGTTCTGTTTGGAGTATTGACAAGTTAGAGCAGCAAAAAAAAAAAGTACAAAGGTCTTCTATATTTCTTTTCACTGTTTTTCTTATGACTGCTTATTATAGAAAAATAAGAGCAGGAAAGGGCGCAAAAGCATGGGTCTCAGTCTCCCTGCCCAAAAAAAAAAATTGCCCACACCCTTCTCACCTGTGTGTACAAGCACATGTTTGTGTCTCGAAAAAAAAAAACATTCATTCAACAAGCGTTTATTGACAGTTCCCACATGCCAGGCACTCATAAAAAAAAAACAAATAAAGCAGTGAACAAAGTAAAGCCCCTGGCCTTCCCTGAACTTACAGTCCAGGCTGGGGATTAGATCCAAACAAGAAACATTAAACCTAACCACTAAATTCTATCCAAAAAAAAAAAGATGCTCAGTACTACAGGGAGTAAAAACAACAAGGTAAGAAAAATGTGGAAAAAAAAAAAGGGGGTCAGAGTGGGCCTGAGAAAGGAACTTTTTTTTTTTTTTTTTTTTAAAAAAAAAAGTCTCGCTCTGTCGCCCAGGCTGGAGTGCAGTGGCCGGGTCTCAGCTCACAAAAAAAAAAACCTCCCGGGTTCACACCATTCTCCTGCCTCAGCCTCCCAGTAGCTGGGAAAAAAAAAAACGCCACCACGCCCGGCTAATTTTTTAATATTTTTAGTAGAGACGGAGTTGAAAAAAAAAAGCCAGGATGATCTCGATCTCCTGACCTCGTGATCCGCCCGCCTCGGCCTCAAAAAAAAAAGGGATTACAGGCGTGAGCCACCGCACCCGGCCTTTTTTTTTTTTTAAAGACACAGTCTAGCTCTGTGGTCCAGGCTGAAATGCAAATGGCATGATCATAGCTCACTGCTGCCTTGAATTTCTAGACTCAAGGGACCCTCCTGCCTCAGCCTCCTGAGTAGCTGGGGACTATAAGCACATGTCGCCACTGCCTACTTATTTGTATTTTATTTTTTGTAGAGACAGGGTCTCACTATGTTTCCCAGGCTGGTTTCAAAGTCCTGATCTCAAGTAATTCTCCCATTTTGGCCTCCCAAAGTGCTGGGATTACAGGTGTGAGCCACCATGCCAGGCATAAGTCTTAGTTTTTAAAAAAAAAAAACAGCTGCTGCATTAAGACTAGGCTCTGGGTGGGGAATGGGGGCAAGGGTGAAAAAAAAAAAAGGGTTCCTGTAGTTACTCCAAATAGTCATGTTGCGTGGCTTAGCCCAGAAAAAAAAAAATGCGGGATGAGGCACTAGGATTGTCCTAAAGGTAGAGGTGGCAGGGTTCAAAAAAAAAACGAGTATGGGAGGAGAGGCAGAAATAAGTCAAGGGTGACTCCAAGGTTGTCTAGGGATAGAGGTGCCACTGCAGGAGGCTGGAAGAGGAACAGGCTTGGGAGGGAGATCAAAAAAAAAAATGAAGAGTTCAAAACATTGATTGGGCTGGGCGCGGTGGCTCAAGTCTGTAAAAAAAAAAATTTGGGAGGCCAAGGTGAGCAGATCACAAGGCCAGGAGATCGAGACCATCAAAAAAAAAATGGTGAAACCCCATCTCTACTAAAAAATACAAAAAATTAGCCAGGCGTGGAAAAAAAAAACTGTCCC